GAACAGTAAGGGTATATAGTGTATAACCTATACTACTGAACTATGAATAATAATAATATAGATAATCAACTCCCCGCTACACATATTTCTATATCAACGAACCAACAAAAAAGGGAATATAATACTACAGTACTACTCTATAAATCTATACATCGAGGTATTGATATTGATATGAATCCCTTCTCATAAGAACAAGCCAACAAGTAAGATAGGAAAGCGAATTACTCAATCTCTAGCTTACCACAACAAGACGAAGATGATCTTCGCTGTCCCACACACCCACACACAAAATGCTATCATAGGCTGTCTATCACACAATACGGCCGTATGAATATAGGGGCCACTATGCCAGCAGACTAAATAATCCAGAAATCAATTTGCCCAGTAGGGGGGCAGCTATGCCAGCGGACTAGACTATTCAGAAACCTGATTCCCGAATACGGGACTGCTATGCCCGCGAACTACACCATCCAGAAATCTAATCGCCGAATACGGGGGCCGCTATGCCAGAGGACTACATCATTCAGAAATCTAATCGCCGAATACGGGGGCCGCTATGCCAGAGGACTACATCATTCAGAAATCTAATCGCCGAATACGGGGGCCGCTATGCCAGAGGACTACATCACTCAGAAATCTAATCGCCGAATACGGGGGCCGCTATGCCAGAGGACTACACCAAATCATATAATCGAACAAAGTAGTCAGTTAAGCGACGCGATCAAAATAAGGGTTAAAATTTCGCAAGAGTAAGAAGACGATTTCATAACTGAGAAAGCCAATTTCGCCCATAATAACATCAATTTCGACGGGATAACCGCATGGGGAATTAGCCTAGAAATTAATGATTTGGAAAGTTATCCGAGCTCGCAACTACAGCTGCCAGTGAAAGACGAAATAATGCTATCACACATAAGTTGTCTGTTCCACCGTATAAAGCTTCTACTAGTGGACAAGCATGAAACATGCGTCGAGGAACCACAGGATGAAATTACTACAATCCCCCCGAATCCCCAACCGGAGCAACACAAAACACTGTTATCGCCCAATTTTCGCTCAATCACAGATCACTGAGCTACAACAAATATTCTACACAGGACTTACTACGAATGGACAGCACCCGATAGTGATGTATGGAGGGTGCGCTGCCAGTAAAGCAAGTTGAGATTGTCAACAGTAGCACAGTCGTCCCCGTGAGTCACCTGAAACGCTGTGTAAAGGTGAAGATAAATAATAACAGAATGCTGTGGATCGTCTAACCGTCACAATTTTTCGTAGAACAAGAGTATAAACGTCAGAAAATACCTTGTCTACAGAGATAAATAGCAACAGCCAGAGGAGCGACGGTCCATCATCTTCGAACCGTTTGATCGCGGATCTCCACGAGCCGATTAACCTGCCCTATAGGAAATCGACTACAATGGAAGTAGCAGTAAGAACCATAGGTCGCTTACTACCGCGATCACTCGCTCATGCTAGCAACTTATTACCACGTATATAAAAAGAGGTTAAGAATATGACTCATGCCACAACGTAGCAACGAGCATGGTTCAACAAAGACGCTTCTCGAGATGCAGTGAATTATGTACTGTTGTGAATGCCGAGATAAAACGTCCGAATGGGAGAGGAGAAGGAGCGATTATATTAACTGTATAGCAAGTAGATTATCGCTGACTCTGTGAAAAACCATCATATGCACGTACAACGTGGATGATGAGCTCTGGCCACTCCTGGTGAACCTTTCTCTATACATAGAGCTAATTGCGCGAGCTCACGCAGCTCTATCGTAGATATCAGATAATGATCAAAAAGAACAGCTAAAGACGACTGAGACTCCAGCAAAGCCGACCAAGGTACTTATGATGATACAAAACATCGGTAGCACCTGTGGCCTTGCGGAATGCAAATACGAGTCTCGGTAATGACAAGTTGATAGAATACAGACTTCCCGTGCAAGCTTACGACCGCCGCCCTCACTCTGATGAAAACATCGTTAAAATTGCGAGGGGGCAGGTCAGCGATACGAGCACGAATTGGATACATTCTTTTCGAAATCAGGGATCCAATAGCAAGTAGGCGGCGCTTGAGACAGTAGAGTTAGAATCGACACTGATGTAGTCAGGCACGTCAGTGTCGGCCACACTATAATATTCAGAAGCACCGTAAGGCTTGACGTCATCGTAATACTCAACTTCCTCGCTTTTAGAGGAGTACGGAGTGCGGTAGATCACCCAAATAACGAGTTGAGCCAGGCAAAGGATCTGAGGCAAAAGACATCATTAATGAATAACATAAGTAAAGCATCCTACCGAACCAGTGCCATTCGGAATCCACACATGGAAGTCCCCAGAACCCAGACCATAGCCGAACCATACCAGAGCGGCCAAGAAGCCTGTGAACGAATATAGTGGGGGCATACACGATGAATCCCTGGTCTCTGAAAAAATTCAAATCGCCAAATACTGATACCAAAAACTGCTCAACTTTACTTATAATAGTTGGAACAACTGCCAACGGTGACGCATACATGGTGATGCTGACTAGGACGCAGCAGTTGCCAAGAAAACTTGCAACGGATGTCGCAAACAAAACGGCAACACTAATCTGAAGAAAAACAACGCCGCATGGAATCGAACCTGCGACCATCTCCATTCAGCCTACCACTGCGCCATAGCACAATAACACACTCATGTACTTCACCATAGTCTGCTTCTTGCAATCTGTGTAACGCAAGAAGACCTAATAAATACCAACATCACCACAACCCAAGCACTTCTGTCGAATCTTACAGACATATAAACGACCATGAAACCCAACGCTACCGCATTGATGCCGAGTATTGCCATCCTCCCAGGTACCTAACATTGACAAAAACTCATCACAAAACCTCGAGTCTCTTCTCCATACCATAAGAGCATATGTAATCCAAAGTAATGATAATAGGGATGTCGTGCAGTAGGGCATCGCCGACAGTTTTCCCGTACTCTTCCTCCTCGACACTTCAACCAATGTCGGTATGCAAGACAAGTATTGTATCACCGAGAGAACCGATCCGACCGTGCCAAGTATAGGCGCTATTGATCCCAACAACTCATGCAGGGATAAACCTCCCGCAACACCATAGGTATCATTAGCAACGCTAAAGGCAGCAGCCGCTGAGGCGGCCTCCATTGACGAAAAACCAAAAAGGTTTTAATAAAAACCTGAGCAAATCTCCTACAGCACGCCTCCTTACCACAGAAATTAACATAACACCAAGTACAAGTTCGTAAAGAAAAAGCGGACGACATCGAAGAAAACTACTAGAAGCCTAGCTCACCTGAAAACACGCTACCACAACACAACAAATTGTCCCCCAAGTGGCCCTATTAAAAAACCCAAGTCTTCGCACTCGTGAGAAGCACACAAACAATCAACACTGGTACAGTCGTAGCAAACAATAAGTCGCTTGAAGCACTTCCTCACAGACACACTAGCAACCTCACTAACCTCAACGTAACATCATTCACCAAGTTTGCTATACTCATTCACAGGTGGACGAGTTTCTCTCGGAAGTTTCAGATTACGATAAGCCGCCCAAATCGACAACTGTACAACACCAAGTACCTGACAGTAAATAGCAGTCACGACAAATCTACAAGTAAAAACATAAAATCTACAGCATCTCTCAAGACTAAAATGAAAATAACCAATACCACTATCACTGACCAGAACCCAGTAAAATGAATCGGCTTAGACGTTCAGAGTATACTACAACGACCAAGCATAGCATAGACACTAGACGCCCCCCTCGGGAGAGACCAAGAAGGATTAGTCCCAACCACCGCTACCATTCCAGCTGCATTAGGAATCATAACATGAGAGTCACCAGACGTGAAGC